CCCCCAACCTGTAATCCCGTCTCCCTGAACTCCCCAATAGACAGGCCTCTCCCTGGCACATTTCCCCACCTCCACCTGTAACCCCAGCCACCCCAACTCACTCACCCACATGTCCCAAAGATATTGAGACGGGCTCGCCTGCAGTAACCGGCAGCACAGCAGCGGTTTCCCACAACACACCTACTAATCGTCACACACGTGCTTCCTGCTTGCAAATTGCAGCCTCCATCCAGCCAGGGTTCATCCCACCTCTGCGTGACAGGGACTGGCCGCGATCGCTGTCCGTCAAGGGAAGGGGGCTGCTTTAACCCGCCCCTGAGCTCCCCCCCTCGCAGCTGACCACAGCGGGGCTGAGCTGGTGTCTGTGAAGGGAGGTAAAGGTAGAGGTAGAGACAGACCGGCCCGGCCCTGGCCTTTTCACCTGTTCTCCCTGCCCCCTTCGGGAGGCGCTTGGCACTCGGCAGTGATCCTGGAGCAGCCCCTATGCAGAGCAGGGAATAGGAGAGCGTGGGAGCAGAACACAGTAAAAGCTCATTCCCCGGTCACGTGTGTAATAGAAAGCGAAGAAAAGTAAAAATCTACAGAATCATAAATTCAGTGGTGCCGGTGCGGGTCACCTTCTGAAGCACGGTTGCGGGGGGGGGCTGGTTTTGACCCAGCCTTTCACTCAAGCACTCGTACATGAGGCTATGTGCTAAAGCAGCAGCCTTGTACTCCGCTTGCTTACTGGTCTACTTGCTGGTGCTGAAGTCACTGTGACCACTGCCCAAATAAATGTGTTAGTCTCTACGGTGCCACAAGCACTCCTCGTTATTGTTGCTGATACAGACTAACACGGCTGCCACTCTGAAACCTGCACCCCTTAAGAACAAGTCCAGGTCATGTGGCATTATTTTTTCAGGTTTGGGATCAGCCCTGCAACTCCCACGTACTGCAGGACAAAATACTTTTCTGTAAAAAAAAAAAAAAAAATTTTAGCAGCTGCAAACAGCGTCTTCATATTACTGTTGATGTCAGCACTTTCTTCCGCATTTGGTAGAGCCAGATCTTGTGCAGCTTTTAAGGAAATGCGCTGATTCATTTCTGTGGCTAGGATTGCTAAAAACTATGTCTATATCTCACAGTTCAGATTCAATAAGTGCTTTAAAAAGCCTTTCTGCTAAGCATTCGTTCTGCTGCAGTCTCATTCAAAGCACATATTTCTCTGTACTTAGCTTCTGCATTGGCCATGGCCATCACTTTCCCATCCATTAGAGTCTCTACCAGGCAATTTATTGAGTCACACAAGTTGCAATAGTAAAATCAGTATTTGTTTCTGTTGCTTTTACCTTTCGACCCAACACATTATATACATTCATTGTGGCACTCAAAGTGATACTCAATGCTGTATGTGTGGGCATCTTTTGAGTCATTGCACCCACTTAATTTTACTGTCCATGCAACATTTTTTCTAAGAGTGACTCTTTATGCAGTGTCTGTCCTGCCTCATGTTGAAACTATGCTTAATGGATGCCTTCGGGCTTCCGACTGACCTCAGAAGAACCAGGGGTTCTTCTCAAAACATGCTTTGCAACTTAGTAGAAGGTGAGTCTTGCCCACAGCTGGCATGGCCCAGCATCTTCAACTTTTGTCTTAAGCCTGATGTACTTCCCCTTCAATCTTGCGAAATTCAGTTTATGGATGCATTTCTGTACTCCTGGGGGAATTCTGCACAACATATTTTACAATTCTGCAAATTTTTATTTGTCAAAATATCACAATATAATCACACCAGTTTCAATTATTTTGGTAATTTATTTCAAAGTACCTATCAGCAAATATGTCTGTAATAATGACAATGAAAAAGGTTCAGGAAATGTTTTCTGACAAATTGATTCCTTACTAGGTATATAAATACAGAACTTTGAGCAATTCATTTAAACTACAATACAGAACTCAAGTATCAGAGGGGTAGCCGTGTTAGTCTGGATCTGTAAAAAGCAACAAAGAGTCCTGTGGCACATCTGTTAGTCTATAAGGTGCCACAGGACTCTTTGGCTTAATACAGAGTTTTATCTCCCACCTGCCTCAGAAGCAGTGCAAAGGCTTGGGGAGTCAGGGATAATGGAGGAGCTGAGGGAGAGGGAAGGAGCCTAGGAATGAACCTGGAGGGTTATTGGGTGTGGGTGGGAGAAATATGGAATGGGCTTTTGGGGGGTGGGGATTGTTAGGGAACCGTAGCCATGCAGACCCTGGCTGACCCTTAGCCTTTCCAATTCAGTCAGGCACATCTGCCCAGTCTCCATGTATCCCGCCGCTCCCACTCAGACACCCCCTCCCCCACCCCCATGTGTCTCTGTGCCTCTATCAGCCACCACCCTTCCCCAATGGGGCCTGCACCCCATTCCCCTGTCCCCATGTGGTCCTGTGCCTCCATCCCCATTCAGCCCCTCCAATCTGTCCTCCACCACTAGCCCTTATGAACCCCAGTTTGTGACCTCCTCCAGCAGCCCCATGTGCCCCACGCTGCCTGTCCCCCCCCATATCCCTTGTCTTCTGTTCTGGCTGCACCAGCAGGGCACCGCTGTCAGGAAGGCAGCCACTTTCTCTTCCTTATCACAGCTAGAAAGGGCCCCAGAGCAACTGCTCTGTTCTAACACCTCGGCAGCCCCTGGTGGGCTAAAGGTGTAACTGCAGCAACTTTCCAACAGAAGTTTTCTGTGCGGGGGAAAAAAAATTGTGTGGCAGTTCACGCATACAGTGGCACAGAATTCCTCCAGGAGTAACTTCTTACAGCATGTAAGGTGCCACTGAGCGATGTGTTTAACCGGGTTCTCCACAGTGGTACTCTCCAAATATTCAGCTATTAGCTGGTACTCTTCATCTCCCCATTGATGCCTAAAAATGATCAAGACCAAAGTAAAAAACAAGGATTTTGTAATAAATTACTTTGGGATTGTAATTAAGTATGTTTGATAATGTATGTTATGTAACTATGCGCATACCCAGTTTGGGGATTGATTTTAGTAATTTTTGGCTGGATGCTGACATCTTAACCTGTGCCTCATTATAACTCTTTTGGCATAATAAGCAAAGGTGATCATCAATACCACTGAACCGCTTCCTTTTGCCAATGATGACAAATTAACTTGAAGCACTCCTTCCACTTATAATAATTTGTAACATTAAAAAAAATGCTCAGGTACCATGTTCTGAGCATTAACTGACAACACAGTATTGTCATTTGAAGGCCACAGTTTAACTTTGTGAGGGCTGCATATTTGACATGCTGGTGTTAAAGTATAATTTTAAAAGTTTTTTTTTATCCCCCAAATATATGTCTACATAATTGTTCTGGGTTTGTTGTGGTTGGTACCATTGTGTTCATCGGTGTTTTGAATGATACCCAACTCAACCTCTTTCTAACACCATTGTATTATCAAAATTTCCACCAACTGGAAGACCTGGAGCTGGGAGTCGGGGAGAGGAGGGAGCAAGATCCCTCTCCCATCAGCCATTGAGGGTGACACCACTGAAATTATAATTTTGTAGATTTTTACAAATCAAATGACCTCTTATCTTTTTAACATTAACTTGCCCATGGAGCTACACATGCTCCCAGACTAGGAAGCAAATAGAACTTTTCCCAAAGGTGGTAGGACAACAGGAGAGAAAGAGAAGCTGGACTCTCATGCCAGGCATGTGTCCCCTCCAGGAGAGATGCTGCTTCCAGCTAGTACCTTTTCTCCATGGAGACATGCTCCCTCTCACTTTTATTTCTCAGGGAACTATTAGCCCTGTGTTATAAACTCTGAGTGTGACCCTCACCCTTTTCAAGAGTTGTCTGGCTTCCAGCCCAAGATCCCCTTTTCAGCTCCTTCTGAGATCTCAAACATCCATCGCTGTGAGACACACTAAACAAAGGTTCAGATTAGCCCCAGGGACAGTGCACAACTTCATCCCACAGAAAGGGATGCCTGGATGAGCCAGGGATGATTCATTACAGTATTGGAAGATCTTGACACAGGGAAGGAATTGAAGAGGAAAGGAAAAAAAGCCTATTGTGGTCTCACTCATCTCAGTAGCTACCCAGCGATCTTGGACTGAATGACAACAGGCCACATCTGAGCAATGTGAGGGGATTGCTGGGAAACATTCCCCTTGGATCCTCCAATAATGTCCCTTGAATTTCCACTCTCAAACCCTTCCTGCAAATCATTCTCCTCATTCTCACTCACCATCTGCTGGAAGAGGAAGAAAAACCAAACCCAACCAGCCTCTCTGCTGAGAAGACTGCCAGAGTCTGAGTCCCCTAAACCCTTCCCCCAAAAGGAGGCAGGGGGGAGGGAGGGATAGCTCAGTGGTTTGAGCATTGGCCTGCTAAACCCAGGGTTGTGAGTTCAATCCTTGAGGGGGCCGTTTGGGGCAAAAATCTGTCAGGGGATTGGTCCTGCTTTGAGCAGAGGGTTGGACTAGATGACCTCCTGAGGTCCCTTCCAACCCTGATATTCTATGAGAGGCCCATTCTGCCTCAACAATCCACTCATAGCATGTTGGATGGTTTTCAACACCCTCTCATCTCTGGGATTTTGCAGTCTCAGGCAGGAAACAAGTTCAGAAGTGGAAACCCATGCTCAGTGAACTCAATACCACAGTCTGAGATAGGGAATATTTACTTCACAGGGGATGGCTGGGGTTACAGACTGCCAGGTGCTTAGATACTATATAATTATTGTTTATTATTTAGCACCAAGGAGTCCAGTCATGGACTACGTGCTCTATAAACACAGAGCAAAAAGACAGTCCCTGCCCCAGAGAGCTTACAATCTAATGACCCAGCTACATTGTTCAGGAGTGTGAAAAATCCACCCCGCTGAGTGACATAGTTAAGCCAGCCTAACCCACAGTGCTGACAGTGCTGGGTTGATGGAAGAATTCTTCCAGGGAGCTAGCAACTGCCTTTCGGGGAGGTGGATTAACTATACAGGGCCGGAAGAAATAGAAGCAGGAGTGAGGAGAGGAGGCAAAGAGACATGAGCACAGGTGCATGCAGAGAAGGGAGATGGGCTGCGAGGGCAAGCTGTTTTTATTATTATTTCAGTAGTGCCTAGAGGGCTCAGTCAGGGCTCCACTGTGACAGACACTG